AAAATTAATAATAGTAATAAAAAGAAAATGGGATTTGTATAAGAACCTAATGGAGAAAGAAACTTCTAATCCTTTGTACAAAGGTTAGAATGTGCTGTGGAATTTGGACTTTATTAAAACTTAATTAGAGCTCCATTTAAAGCATGTAAGTAGTGGGATAGTGTGATGTTAAAAGTTTATTGTTCAAAATTGTTTCCCTAGCCATGGACTGACTTTGCCGTGTGGATGGACAGGGATATTAAAACAGGGAGTATTAGCCTGTCCGCAAGGAGATTGGTTAGTCCCAAAATTAAGTTGGGTGGATTCAGGAGCAAATTAGGAATAGGAGAGTCTCACTGCCAGCAATGCAGCTCATCCTTTGGGGCCAGAGATCCTTTTGCCAGCCAGACCAGAAATCTGACATGAGACGGAGCCACACAGATGGGGCCTTGAGACTGCTACCCCAGAGTGCCTGAGCTGAGAGCCTGTGCCCGAGTCTCTTGCATGACTTGGGGGTAGAGGAGAGAGATAATTAGCAGGACTATGCTTTGTAAGGGAGCTCTGGTGGCCTAGTGGCAAGAAGCTGTGCTGCAATCGCAAAGGTATGCAGTTCGAGGCTGCTCTGTGGGGGAAGGATGGGCAGTCTTCTCCAGTGTGATTAACTGCCTTGGGAAAAACCCTCTGGATGGTCAGCTCTGGGTCGGTTCCAACTCAACGGTAAATAACAACAACAAGCTTTGTAGCACTGGCTTTAAGCCATGGTGAGGCTGAAGGGTGAGGTCCCTGTGAGCACATGGCAGTGGCTGTCGTGACTGAGTGATTGTATTCTGCTATTAACCTGCATGATAGTCTTTTGCCTTCCCTACTATGGACGGCACATAACAACAGCAACAACTATGGTTCTGTGTGGTCTGTGAGTTATCGCAATGGATTTTGGACCAAGTAAAGCAGTAAGAGTGATGTTGGGATGAGTAGAAAGAGGTGTGAAAGCAAGGAGGAGAAGGGGGAAAGGAACATACCTGACCTCATGGGGGACAGGGTTGGGTTATTGCTGTTGGTGGCGGGGACAGCTCCCTTTTGTGGAGTTGGTAGCCATCCTCAGGCCACCCATGCTCTTTTTACAGATGGCATGTGATGTCTGCTGACACGTGAGACCATTAATCTCGCTGGAGAGCAGTGCTAGAGTGCTGGTACTGTAGTTTGTAAAGAGTTGTCCTACCAGTTCAAAGGCTGCATCTTTCTAGTGGTTTCAGGCCACCAGCAGCTCCAGGGAGAAAGATGGGCAGTCTCCTCCCATTTGATTGACAGCCTCGAAAAGCCCACTAGAAGGTCTGCTACGAGTTGCTTCCAGCTTAACAGCAATAAGTTTTGAGTGAAGCTCACTGTGGAGTACAACACGGCTGGGCTTAGAGGGATTTTGGGTCGCAGCTTGGAAAGGCGGGCCTGAAATAGAGTAATAAGAGGCGGAATAGGAAGGAAGGAACAGATTCCGGAGGGAGTCCAATGAAAACTAAGGAATGAGTATGAAGAAGGGAGTAAGAGTGGTTTGGGAACGTTTACACATACATAATTGTATCTTCACTACCTAGGTTCATGCTGGTGAGGTATTGGGAACGTCCTTTGTCTTGTTGGAAAGACAATAGGTATCTATAATGGATAAATAACAACTGAAAAGCAGACCAGTTTCATTACTGTGTTAAAGACTGACAGAGAACAAGAGCACACAAGCATTTGGTGGAAGAAATAGTTCCCAGAGACATGGAGTCCTGCCGACTTTAAGGAGCGAGTAGGATTTGGAAATGATAGGACAGGTAGTTAGAGCAATAGAATGAAGAGAGCTCCTCGTGGAGTCTTCATGACGCATCAGGCAGAACCATCCGGTTGGGATAGAGTGCTGGTCTAAGAGAGTAAAGAGGGGTGGGAACAAAAGATATTAGAGAAGTCTTTTGAGTCCAAATTAAAAAAAAAATATAGTTTTATGTGGACTATCTCCAAATTTGCAAAATACCAGGAACTGCTAGGAAAACAAATAGATTCGTCCTGGAAAGCGTTAAACTGGGCGGCTCCTTGGAGGCAAGGAATCTGAGGCTCCTTCTAACATACTTTGGACATGTTGTGAGGAGAGTCTGGTCCTTGGAGAAGGATATCATGCTTGGGAGGGTGGAGGGACAGCGCAGGAGGGGAAGGCCCTCTATGAGGTGGATTGATTCAGTGACTGGGTTAATTGGGATGGGAGTGTCAGAGACAGTGCGATTGGCACAGGACAGAACAGGGTTTAGGGCTGTTGTGCATATGAGTCGCAAATTACTCCACAGCACAAAACAACAACAACAACAACCACCTCCAGGTACTGACATTTCTGATAAAGGAGTGGCCAGCTCAAGACAATGAGTTAAGAAGTTTAATTGTAGAAAATGCCTGCAGTAAGAGTAGAGAACCCTATGCAAATGATATGATAGTATACTTAGTAAGCCCCTCAGCTTTGTTCACAATAGCAAAGAACTGGAAACAACCTAAGTGCCCATCAACAAATGAATGGATAGAGAAGCTGTGGTATAGTCATACAATGGAATACTATGCTGCATTGAAAAACAAGGAATTCATGAAATATTACTCAAAATGGGTGACCCTGGAGGACATTATGCTGAGTGAAATATCTCAGTCACAAAAGGACTGACATCGGGGTTAGGGGGAGACTGAGAAAGATGGGGTCAATAATGTATACTGCATTGAAACAGATGAGGGAAAGAACTGTTTAAAAGGGATATATGATTAGGTATTATTGTCATGACAGGAGTCCAGAACGAAGGCTGCATAGTCGAGTGGACCTGGGGGGAGGGATTGTAAAGCAATGAATTTTTCTTTTACTTTTCAAAATGAAGGTTGCATAGTGGAGTAGACTCGGAGGGAGGGATTATATAACAAAGAAAGAACTTTTATTTTACTTTTCAAAGAGAAGAGTGAACTGAGGGGGAGGTTGGGCATGGAGAAAAGTACAACAATGAATGAATCAAAAGTTAAAGTCTCTGTAAGCTTTCATTAAAATTATTTTTTAAAAAAGAACAAATACTGCATGGCGCCACTGTTGAAAACAGGACTGACCTCAGGGTTAGGGGGAGGCTGAGAAAGATGGGTTCAATAATGTATACTGCATTGAAACAGATGAGGGAGAAAACTGTTTAAAAGGGATATGTGAGTAGGTTTTTGTGTCATGACAGGAGTCCAGAGCGAAGACTGCATAGTGGAGTGGATCTGGGGGGAGGGATTGTAAAGCAATGAAAGAATTTTTCTTTTACTTTTGTACTGGGGGGGTGGGGTTAGGAGGAAAGAAAAGTACAATGAATGAATGGAAAACCAAAGTCTCGTAAATTTTCATTGCAATTAATAATAAATTTTTTTAAAAAAAGAGTAGAAAGGCATTACTACTGGTAGCATGAGTGGTTGGCTTACCTTGAATCAAAATGAGAAATGAAGATGTAGATTAGATTGACACTAAACATGAGAAAGTGTAAAAAAGAGAAGGCACTACCCTGCCAAGACTTAAAGGCGAGAGAAACGCAGAGCTTTATCTGAGGTTTCAGATCCAGAAGCAGTATGAGGAGTGTCCTGCATGCCCGGGTAGAGAAGTCAAGTGAGGGGGGTGTCTTACAGGCAGGCGTGAGAGTCCCGGAGGCGGTAAGAAGTGAAGGGCCAGGACCTCAGCTGGAAAACACATTCGCTCCACTAAGTAGAAACACCGCACACAACTCCGCCGTTGTTTGTGGTTTCTAATTAATTAATTAATTCATTCTGAAAGTAGAGTCCTTTCAACAGCTTGTTTGGGAATGGTTATTATCTTGATATTGCTGAATACTCAATTATTCTTTTGTTCCCGCTGCAAGACAATTCCGTGTGTATGAGGAAAACAAGAGAGGCAGACTCGGGAATGATCCCGGAGGCAGATCCTGTGGGCAGCGCAGCCTTCTCCAGTGCATGCTTTAGTCTTCTCTGGTGTGGGAATTAGTCCTGGTTTGGACACCTCTCCATCACCCAGCACAGTGAGATGTCAATACCCAGTGCTGGCTGATTTGGATGTGCACTGTAGTTCTCGCAGCTGAAAGAGCGGACATCAGACAGCTAACCCGCTGACACGGGCAATTTTAAAATGACAGGTGCTTCATACACAAATGCAAATCAAGCATCAGATGTGAATTGTGGAAGTTCTGTAAACAAAACCTAGCAGTAATAACTCTAGTTGGGGATCTTTTCTGCAATGCCAAAATCCATTCACAATCCTTCATCCCTTGAGGTCCCAGAGACGTGTAAAAGTCACAGCCCCTTGAAGAGCAGAGACAGCAACGAACTTCAGCAGAGTGAGGGAGGCGCTGTGCGACCCCGGACCCCCGCACAGTCTAGTCCCGAGCCGGCGAGTTGGAGCCATACTTGACTGAGTTGGAACTGCCTGCCTTTTGGTTGGCAGTGCAGTTCTTTACCCACCAGTCACCAGAACAAAAGGCAAAGAGCCCTTTTATTTTCTTTTTCCTAAAACAGTAACTAGCAGGAACTGCAGTTACTCAGAAGGGAAATATAAGGGATAGAGTTGGGAGGTGAAAAGGAATTGAAATCTCTGAAGAATAAACCAACCAGACAAGAATAAAGGGGAAAAGGATATATGTGATATACGTTATATCACGTTAGTCAAATAGAGAAGCAAAGAGAGAAGTCTCAGGCCAGTTGGCTGGCTGTGAAAATAAACCAACTTACCTTTTTTCCCCCACTTTAAGAGTACCTAGAACTTCAGGGGTCAGTGGGTAGGGCATTGTATCACTAACTCAAAAGTAGTATCTCTCTCTGGCAGTTCGAACTTCCATAGGAGAACGGTGGGCAGTCTTCTCTCATACAGTTTACAGCCACAAAAAACCCAGTGGTGGGTCAGCTATGAATCAACTGACTCGACAGCAATGAGCTTGAGGGTTGAGTCTTTGAGAACACCTAAGAAATACAGCTTTGGTTTTTACATGGTCTTTCTGGTGGTCTTGTAGCTGCCCGGCTGATCGAGAACATGGACAGCAGTGTGGAACCCTGCACGGACTTCTTCAGATACGCCTGTGGAGGCTGGCTGAAACGCAACATCATTCCCGAGACCAGCTCCCGCTACAGTAACTTTGACATTTTAAGAGATGAACTAGAAGTCGTTTTGAAAGGTTAGTGAAGTTAGTGTCTGTGTTTTCTCGATTTCTCTCTTAATGTAACCCCCTTTATGATACAACTGTTAGCTGTTATAGAGAAAGGTGCAAAACACTGAAATCAATAACCCCTTCCAGGTTTTGTGACCAACGAGTGTCACTCACACTGCTACACACAGTAGTGGGTATGTTGATGATACTTGGCTTTTTCCTTCCTTGTGTTTGTTCATAGGTACACATACATATCATCCCCTAGGGAATGTCATCTTTAGGTCTTTTTGCAGGAAGAAAAATGTAAGTGATTGCCATTCAACACCAACACCATGATTCCTACAATAAGACTACTCTTCAGAGTAAATCGACTGTTTCTAGACGAGCTAAGGAATTCTCCCTTAGAAACGGAGAAAGTTCATGGTCAGCCCTACTATATACCTCCTCCATCTGTTCTCTTCTAGAAGTTACTTTGTAGACAAACAATCTTTGCCAGTTTCTAACATCAGAACAAGCAGCGCAATTCATTCCCTTCCTTTGGAGCCTGCAAAGTAAAATCATTCAAAGAGAATTCTTTTCTAGCCATACCAAATTCTAAATTCCTTTGTATTATTGTTTTCATTTTCCTCTCAGTCACAAGAAAAATGATTGTTATCTATGGCAAGCCAGTACATACCACTGTTCAAAAAAACAGAGTAGGGTGAGGAAAGTTATAAGGACTTGTACTGCCAACTCAGAGGTACACAGTTCAAGTCCACCAGCTGCTCTGCGAGAGATAGACAGACAGTCTCCTCCTGCACAATTTGCTGCCTCTGAAAACCTGCTGGAGGGTCAGTTATGAGTTGATTTTAACTCAGAGGTACACAACAACAGACAAGAAACCTTGCATCTCACTTGGTTAACAAAAGTAACTCCTTAGGCGAGCTCTAGTGGCCTAGTGGCAGGAAGCTGCACTGCCATCCCAGAGGTGTGCGGTTCGAATCCACCAGATGCTCTTCTGGAGAAAGAGGGACAGTGTCCTCCTGTACTAGTTAGATCCTATGTGATGGTACACACACATAAAATAATAAATTTTTTTTTTTTAAAAAGTAACTCCCAGTTCTGCACTGGGAATAATAATCTAAGACAATGTTTAGTCTGTCCTCTACAGTGTTTGGAGTTGGCAGAGAGTAGACATATACCTGGGGGTACTTGGCTGTATGTGTATTTCCTGAACATCGTTAAAAATGCTGATGATAGTTGCTGATGAACTATTGATACATCTTCTTAACTGTCCTATTTTCAGACGTCCTTGAGGAACCTAAACCAGAAGACATAGTAGCTGTGCAGAAGGCGAAAACCCTGTACAGGTCCTGCATGAATGAAAGTGAGTCATTTCATGAGGTATGTGAATCTATTGCTGTAAAAAAAGTAAGCATACCCTTCATGGTGAGCTTCTTTCTTCTTGTTTCCAAAAGCTGCTATTGAAAGTCGAGGAGGAAACCCTTTACTTAGCCTCTTACCGGATATATATGACTGGCCAGTGGCAACAGACAACTGGGAACAAACATATGGTAAACCAGTTTTCCTTCTCTTTTTTTTTTTAAAAAAAAAGCCCTCTATATTATTAAAGAAAAAACTCCAACACCCTTTTTTGTTCATAATTAATTATATTACCTTATTTATGAACTTAAGCTTCACGGAATATACTTTACCTCTCGTTGTTTTAGGTGCTTCTTGGACAGCAGAGAAATCAATTGCACGACTAAATTCTCAATATGGGAAAAAAGTCCTTATTAATTTCTTTGTTGGCACCGATGATAAGAACTCTACGAACCATATAATTCACGTAAGTTCGTGAGGCCTACCACTGAAGTTACCTTCAAATTGTGTTAGCACTTCCACCCACACTGTTATCGTTGACAGTTAGAAATAATGCATATTCTCATTGGAATTGCATGAGCAAGGGGGCATTCATCCACAGTCTCTGAGCTTTGGATACTCAATTTGCAAGGTGTTTTCTCAAGGTTAAATTTTAAACATCTGGCTCGTCTCATGAAAACTCCATTTTAGATTCCTTCTTCTTGCTCTCCTGTGGGGCAGTGGGTAAATTCAAACCACTTGCCTTTGGACTGACAGTGCAACTCCTTGTCACTAAGCCACCAGAGCTCCCTTAAAGCAAAACGTGTGAAAGGGTCCCTTCTATTTAGAAGGGGTTCTCCAGATCTTCACACAAAGAAGCACCCTCTGGCTTTTCTGTGCTCTGTTGGTCTCTAGCTTATTTGGATCCACAGTCAACACATTGGTACCAAGAGTCAGGAAATCAGGAGACGTATTGCACTGGTACAGTCTGCAGTCAGGAACCTCTCCTAATTAGTGAGGAGCAATGATACCAGTTTAAGAACTAAGGTGCGTCTGATTCAGGCCGTGGTCTTTCCAATCACTTGCTATGTAGCTGAGAGCTGGAAAATAAATAAGTATGACAGAAGACGAATGATGACTTTTAGCTGTGGTGTTGGGTAATAGCCAAGAACATCCCATGGACTGCCAAAAGAACAAATAACTCTATCTTAGAGAAAGTGCAGCCAGAGTGCTCCCTGGAGGTAAAGATGATAAAGCTTTGCCTCATATACTTCGGACATGTTGCTAGGAGGGGCGAGTCCTCGTGGAAGGACAAGATGTTTGGAAAAGTAGAGGCTTGACCAGTTGGATTGACACAGTGTCTGCTGCCATGGGCTCTAGTGTGTCTGGACATGTGAGGATGGCACAGGACAGGACATGGTTCAGCTCTGTTGCTCATAAGGTTACTACAAGTCCTACCTGACTTGACGACATCTGACAACCACAACAACATGCCAGTCTAAGGGAACCCTGGTGGAATAATCTAGAATGGGCTGTGCTGCTCACCTAAAATCCGTGCCAAATCTGCCAGCCACTCAGGAGAGAAAGATGTGCGTTCTTCTGTGATTAACTGCCTTCCTGGAAACTTGCTGGAGAGTCAGTGAGTCAACAATGAGTCAGTTTTGAATTAATGGCAATTGGTTTGAGTTTTTTGAGTGTCAGGTCTAGGAACCAGAAATTCCAATTGCTTTTAAAAAACCAAACAAACACCAAACTTAGGAAAAAAACCTTTTCTTTGGTTCTCTGTAAAGAAGATCTTTACTATTTTCCCAGGAAGCCAAATAAAATTAAATGCTATTCCTTTAAAATAGCTTTTAAAAGCTTATTTCCTTTCTTCTTTAAGTAAACTAGATACCACCCAAGAAAGCTAAATCACTAAGTGATGTGTTTCATGGACAGAATGTTTTGTAGAATTTTTAATTGGTCATCAGTAAAAGAAACTAAGAAAAAGTTACAGGTCACAGGATCACTGTTACATTGATCCTTGGCATTTGTTAATAAAATCAAGGAAGAGATTGAACCTAACACTTTTGAAGACAGTCTCCTTTTCCTCTTCCAGAAAGTTTCATCTTGTTCTTCATTGTCAGCTTCCTTATGATCGCAGGGAAATGTTCAGTCTGGAGGGTTAATAGAGGAGGAGCAGGCCTTCAGGGTATACCTTTGGGTTGTATTCTCACCTGTAAGTGTTCTTACTTTAGAGAATACATTTCCAAGCTTGCCTCTTTATACATCTTGCCATGTAGTGGATAGGAAACAACCTCACCAAACTGTTATGTATTCAGGTAGCTGTCATTTGAGGACCAAAGATGGACCAGACACACTTAGAGGCAAGCTAAGTGTTCTCTTTATGCATCAGAGAGTTGGACAATGACCAAGGAGGATAGAAGGAGAATTGATGCCTTTGACCCGTGGTGCTGGAGAAGAGTATTGAGAATACCATGGACTGCTAGGAAAACAAACAGATTTGTCCTGGAGAGGGTTAAACCGGGTGGCTCCTTGGAGGCAAGGATTCTGAGGCTCCGTCTAACTTACTTTGGACATGTTGTGAGGAGAGACCGGTCCTTAGAGAGGGACATCATGCTTGGGAGGGTGGAGGGACGGCGCAGGAGAGGAAGGCCTCTATGAGGTGGATTGATTTAGTGACTGGGATAATTGGGATGGGAGTGTCAGAGACAGTGCGATTGGCACAGGACAGAGCGGAGTTTAGGGCTGTTGTACATAGGGTCGCTATGAGTCGCAGGCGACTCGATGGCACATAACAACAACAACAACAAGTGTTCTCTTTCTATTTCAGCAGATGTCTAGAGTCCTTAGCAGAGTTTAGCAACTTCGAAAAGAGCAAAGAGGAGTCTCCATCCACCTAGTGTGGGGACCACTAAAAAACTTCTTGTCATAATTTCCACATTTTTCTCCTCCCCAGTGAACCTGAAAGATTTCACCTCCTTCCACCAACAGGCTTAAACCCCAGCCCCTAGTGGGAGTCGCATGGATTCCCCTCTACCCAGACTCTTGGAAAGATAAACATACTCCTCACTCATTCACGAGCTTGTCTTGCCATTCAGCATTTTCTTTTATAACAATAATAAAAATTTACTTTTCAACATCTGGAAGTAATAAGTGCTAAGGTCTTTGGTGGAATTCCTTACCAGTAGGCATGTAGGGAAAAAAGCTCGTGCTGCATAACATTTCACCACCCCCTGTTTCACGGGATGATGGGTTGAGCAGAGGAAGGGTTAGAATGGGATTGCCAGGGACAAGTGAGGGCAGGACAGGCCACCTGGGTAAGGAGGGTGTTATCAGGTGAGTGGCCCATCGGCAATTGCAACTTAAGATCAAGGACAGAGCCCAACCCTGGCCTGGTTGGGAGAAGGTCTAGATTGGTAGTTCTCGTGGGAATATAGGTGTGAAAGGGGCAAGGCCACTCAGCCAGCGGCATGGCATGCGTGGGTGAGGGACAAGCAGGGGCAACCCCACATGGGGCAGTGTGCACTCCCCCTGGGCTACCCAGACACTGTGGACAGCCATCCTGGCGCTGAAAAAGCCAGTAAGGTCATGTGGAGGTTTTTGAGGGGATGAGATTGGACCAACTATCCTGAAAATATGATAAGCACAGGAGAAGGGGACACTGGACGTGGGGAGTTGGGAGCAGAACTTGAGCCCTCTGCCTCCAGAAGACTGAGTGGCTCTGTCCCATACATAGTGAGGGCCAGGCTCTCCGGAGAGGACTTGGCGTGAAGGAGGAGGATACAGTGGTGACAGGTGTCCTCAACATGAATGGGTCACTCATCATACAGGCAGGTGATAGGGAGATGTCCTCAGCCCCCATTTTCACATAATGCCACTTTTTACACAGTGACCTAGTCTTTGGGGCCTGACCATGTCAGTGAGGGAGAGGTGATTATACTAAAATCTCAGGAAATGAGGAGGCCCTATTAATGCGTAACTTAGAAGCTTCCCAACTCTATAGAGTTTATCTGTATTTTTTATTTATCTGCTTTTGATTTTGGGTTTAAAAAAAAAATAATCACTGGTTAAGATGATACTTTCCAGTCATTATTTTTTGTCAATTTCTCTTTTATTTACTTCAGTAAATATTCAGTATCTATAGTGCAAACTGAGAAATTCCCTGACCAACAGCAGTACAGTATAAGTAATGTGGAAATAATTTCCCAAGATGTTCATTTCATGTCTAATTATTATCCATATAAGAACCAACATGATAATCTTATTCATAGGTAAACATGATTGTGTTTTTTCCAACTGCTCTATCTCAGTTAAATGATTTCTTCTTCTTTTTTTAAATAGTTTGACCAACCTCGACTTGGCCTCCCTTCCAGAGACTACTACGAATGCACTGGTATTTATAATGAGGTAAATTTTGACAATAAAATCCCAATTTATCACTGCACATTTATTTGGTATAATCTTACAAAAAATGAAAAACACTGGGACCAGCTTTGCCGTCACCTGTCTTATGTTCTTCATTCAGGACAGATCTTTCAAATCCTACCAGTTACTAAAACTTAACTAAAGGAAGGTTTTGGTGGTTTTTTTTTTTTGTTTTGTTTTGTTTTGTTGGGTTTTTTTTTTGTTTGACACGTATTTCTTCTTTATTACTTTTGTTAATAGAAAGCATATTTCTTTTTAAAAAATTTTATTTTAATAATTTTGATGAATATTTGCAGAGAATTTGGATTTCCATTCATTTATTGTTGCACTTTTCTCCCTTTCCAGCCCTCCCCCCACCCCTAGTTTGCTCCTCTCTTTTAAAAAAGTAAAAGAAAAATTCTTTCTTTGGTATACAATCCCCCCACACCCCTCACACCGCCCCAGGGTACACTCCACTATGCACCCTTAATTCTGGACTTAAAAGAAAGTTTTAAAGAAATTTTTAAATTCTTTATATGTGTGTTGGTTTATGTGTTATATGACCTACTTTGAAAAGTCAGTTTAAAAGTATTTAAGTATACAAATTATACCATCTTAAAAAGAAAAAAGAAAAAAAATATCATGGTCTTGACAGGATTCAAGTAGGACCAAGTCTTGATTCAGTGAGAGATGTCATTCTTAATAGCTGCTTTATGGAGGAAATTCTAGTTAACATTGAGAAGAATGGAAATACCAGAGTGTTTAATTGCACACATTCGAAACCTTGACCAAAACCTTGACCTAGACAAACAGGCTGTTGTCCAAACAAAACGGGAGAGCACGACATGGTTTAAAATTAAGAAAGGATGCATCAGAGCGGTATTCTTTCTCCATCCCTATTATATCTGTATTCTGAACAAAATGTATCAGAGTCTGGCCTTTATGAAAAGCAATGTGACATCAAGATCGCAGGAAAACTCATCAACTCTGACATTATGCATAATGACACTGTTACTTACTAAAAGCAAGCAGGACTTGAAGCACTTGCTGCAGAAGATCAAAGACTACAGCCTGTAGTATGGACTACATCTGATCAAGAACGAAAAAAATCCACAATCTTGGGCCAATAGGCAACATCATGATAAATGGAGAAAAGATTGCGGTTCTCAATGATTTCATCTTTCTTGGATCCACAGTCAACACCCACAGTACCAGCAGTCAAGAAATCAAAAGACATATTACATTGGGAAAATCTGCTGTCAGGAACCTCTCCAAAGTGCTGAAGAGAAAGAACATCATTATAAAGAAGAAGGTACCCCTGAACTAAGCTGCGGTCTTTCCTGTTACTAGCTATGTCCTGAAAATTGGACATTGAATAAGCATGTCAGAAAAAGAATCGATGCCTTTGAGTCAGGGTATTGGGATATTGAATATCCCGTGGACTGCTAAAAGATCAAGTAGTATGTACAAGGGTCATGAAGCTTCAATGCAGATATTTCACACATCTTGTCAGGTGAGGCCAATCCTTGGAGAAGGAGATCATGCTTAGAAATATGAAAGGTCATTGTAGGAGAAGATCCTCGACAGGATGGATCGACTGGTGACTGTAACCATGGGCTCAAGTGTATGACACATGGTGAGGATGAATGCAGGATAGAGTAAGGTTCCCATTTGGCGTTCACGGGTTGCTGTGAGCTACAGCCAACCTGAGGTCACCTAATGACAACACCAGAAGACCTCTGGCTTGACTCTGAAAGGACTTTCTAGTAACAGTGCCAGGCTCAGCAAATCTTTGCTGCCACCTCCTGAGTCTTTCATCGGCCCATTTGCCAATGAGTATCAGCACTGCTTTTGGTTCCGAGGGCTTTCTCTGTGCCCCACTTGTTCCTCTCAGGCCGATGCCAAACACATACATGCAACACCAAGGACAGACCAAGGAATGCTTTGCATTATTGGCATGGAAGGGAAGGAGGTGCTTCTATACATTTGCTCCTCATAGTTCTTTTTAACTCAGAAGTAAGTTTACCTTTAATGGTATTAATGGATCATGGTGTAGTGACACAGCTGAAATGAACTTTTCATTTAAAATTTCTAAAAATTTTCAAGTTACAGTTTTGTTAATCGATTATTAAGTTCACAGTAAGGTATCTTTTTGAGTGACTTCAGAACTTCTGTGTATGTGAACCGTGACTATAGTATAATAACCAATGGTTGAGGGATGTTTAGAGTAAATACAACCTAGTTACTGTGTGGTTTGCAGCGACTGTCTCCCTGAACTGTGCGGCTGCCCCCACTGGGGATCTGAGAGGGACTGAGGAATTTTGCCTCCTCCTGCTACACTTTTATCAGCATCAGGGGAGAGGCTTTTTATATATTTGGGATTGTGTCCTGCCAACATGAACATTTTTCTACTCTTAAGAGAAACATTCCCCTTCCCCCACTACAGTTTAACATTTCTGAATTGGAAGTATACCTTGTCAGTCAGTGTATACATTAAATGTGGTAGAGATTTCCCCCCTCCCCCACCACAAAATCTTCTATTGTGTTTAAAATGAAGATGTAATTTTGCATTGTTTATTTTTAATTCATTGGCTACATTTGAGAAATTGAGAAGTTCTTAAGAATCCAGCTTTAAAAAAAAAAAATAATAGAGTTGTGAGTAATGTACCAGTATTCTCGTAGTTGGCCAACCAAAGCTGCATTGTAGTTTTTTTTTATTGAAGGTCTTTGTTGCTTTAACTGGGATAGTCCTTATTTAATGAAGGTATTTATATATCTAGTGACTTCTGATTTCAGTGTCTGTATGTCTGTTAGGGGACTTGTAAGTTAAGACAAAAATCATCACCATGGAGTCTTCACGGACTCGTAGCTGACTTTCCAGAGGGTTCCGTAAGCTGTAAAATGCACAGGAGAAAAGTGTAACCTGGGTTCTTTGTGTCTCTTTGCTCTTACAAATAACACTGCAAATCTGCTTTCAATGTTCTAAGGTCCCAGTTGTTCCTCACTAAGACATAAAACATCGTCCCTGTTGATGATGTTACGCCATTTGACCTTGATAGGACCGTTTGTGTGTGTCTTTGATTCCCTTCATTGTTCTTTGTGACAGACAAGGGTGGACTTCTGTCTCTAACCATTCACTCCTTGGTCATTTCATTACGTTTCAGAAATCAGTGTTTGCCGGGCAGGAATGACATAAAACAACTCTGAGTTTCCTTGGGCTAATTAATTATTATCATTTCCTCTGCTGATCCCTCCCTCAAGGGAGTGTCCTGCTTCTCTGGGGGAGTCAGTTTCCATAATCCTAAAGCCAAATTCTGTTGCTAGAGACCTTTTGCAAAACACTGAAGAGCAATGATGTCAATCTGAAGACTAAACACTCGCTCTCTGAGTGATTGAATCAGATAATTAGCTGGACAATGAGTAAGGACGGTAGAAGAATTGATGTCTTTGACTTGTGTAATTGGGGAAGAGTACTGAATGGACTGCCAAAAGAACAAACAGATCGGTCTTAGAAAAAGTGAAGCCAGAGTACATCCTTCGGACAGATTGCTAAGAGAGGCTATTCCTTTGAGAAGGACATCATGCTTGGAAACGTGGAGGGTCAGCAAAAAACCAGGAAGACCTCCAGCAAGATGGATTGACACGGTGACTGCAGCAGTGGACTCGAATGTGTCAGAGATGATGAGGATGACACAGGATGGGACAGCATTCAGGTCTGTTGTTCACCAGGTCACACTTGATAGCATATAATGATGACAGAGCGACTCAAGCCCACAGTGACAGCAGCAGTACTGACCCTCACTAAGGGAGATCATTTTCATTCACAGAATTACTTTGTTGGCTTTTAATATCCCACTGTTGCTTTTGTGTGCTGTTGAACTGAAACTGATCCGTAGCTGGATTTCCAGCAGGTTTTCAGAGGCAGTACATATTTTAGGAGGAAATTGTCCATTCTCCCCACGGAGCAGCTAGTGGGTTTGAACCTTTGAACCTTTGAGATTGCAGTGCAGCTTCTTACCACTAGGCCACTAACACTCCCTTTAATACCCTAAGAATGGATTTTTTTTGCTTTGACACTTGTATGCCAGTCACAACAATAAAATGCCTTATGCTATTACATCACTGCATAATGGAAAAAAAAAAAGAACTCATTTTGTTTTCAAGGACTGTTTCTCACTTCCTTACTTAGACACAAAACCCAATTTTTCTCTTGTTAAAGCATTTCTGTCTTTAAAGTTATTTGCTTTTATTCTGGTGCTTTATACCCTGAGAAAAGCAGGCTGTACTACTCTGGTTTATCATTCTGAATTTATCTACCTCAGTTCCTTTTCAATTTAAGTACTTTCCTTCTCAATTAAGGAAGGAACATGCCTAAGGCAATCAAAACTCAAAGATAGATGCTTTTGTATTTTTGCCATGACAGTATCATATGTTTTCTTTTGTAATTAAAGTTATTCATGTGCAGACTCTAAGAGCTAAATGGCACATCTGGGAATTAAATCCAACTGCTCATTTTCCCAATGAGGAAACTGAGACTCAGAGAGGTTAAGTGACTTGTTTAAGGTCATAAATTAGATGATGCATGTGTCAATTAGAGAAAATTAATTCAAGGAAGAGACACTTCATCTGGGTTGTTTTTGGAGAGCTTCGTTTCTTTCTGAGTTTTTGTTTGTGTTTGTCAGAGGGAGCTCACCAATCTAATAAACTCTGGATGAATCACTCTCAGCTGTATCCAGAGGTTCAACTGAGTTTTCTTCCTTCCCTCTTCTCAAGGTGTTTCCTTTGCATTGACTTCCGGCTCTAGGAGCCTGTCTTCATTGGGGTATTGAAGTTGACCATTTTCACCCACATAAATCCCTCCTCAGAAAAAGAAAAAGAAGAAAAATTCCATTTCTCCCAATATCTGTCAGTTTCTGAGGAAAAAATTCTTGTAACTGTCCTTGAGTCTGTGCTGTTCCAAGGAGACTACGTTTCCGGTTTGAGTAGCTGGCAATGTCCCCTTG